AGCAAACTATCGCAAGAACAGAAAACCAAACACCACATGTTCTCACTCATAGGTGGGAACTGAACAATGAGATCACTTGGACTCAGGAAGGGGAACATCAGACACAGGGGCCTATCATGGGGAGGGGGGAGAGGGGAGGGAATTCATTGGGAGTTATACCTGATGTAAATGACAAGTTGATGGGTGCTGATGAGTTGATGGGTGCAGCACGCCAACATGGCACTAGTATACATATGTAACAAACCTGCACGTTATGCACATGCACCCTAGAACTTAAAGTATAATAATAATAATAATAATAATAATAAACCCCTTATACCATACACAAAGTTAACTCAAAATAGACTTAAAAAGCCAAAACAATACAACTTTTAGGAGAAAATTTGAGAAAGCCTCTGAGACCTTCAGTTAGGCAGAAATTTAGATGTGATACTAAAAGCACAGTCAATAAAAGAAAGTTGATGAATTGGTCCTCATCAAAATTTAAAATGTTTACGCTTCAAAAGACAGCAATAAAAATAAAAAGGTCAGGTGTGGTGGCTCATGCCTGTAATCCTAACACTTTGGAAGGGTGAGGTGGGAGGATCAGGAGTTTGAGACCAGCCTGGGCAACATAATGAGACCTCCCATCTCTTAAAAAAAAAAAAAAGAAAGAAAGAAAAAGATCAGTGTGCCTTGGGTAAAATATTTGTAAAACACGTATGTGATAAAAGACTTATATCCAGAATATACAGAAAATGTCTACAACTCAATAAAACAAGCAACCGAATCAAAAAATGGTCAAAAGATGTGAATAAACATTTAAGTAAAGAAGATATACAAATGGCTCTAGGCACATGAAAAGATGCTCTGTATCATTAGTCATCAGGCAAATACAAATTTAAAAACCACAAAGAGATGCCATTCATACTACTATTGCTTAGAATAGCTATAATAAATAAGACACAGTAACAAATGTTGGCAAGGATGTGGAGAAATTGGAACCTTCCTGCATTGCTGATGGGATTATAAAATGGTTCAACCACTTTGGAAAACAGACTGGCATTTCCTCAAAAGGTTGAGTATAGAGGTACCATATGACACAGAAACCCCACTCCTAGGTACATACCTGAGAGAAATGACAACGTATGTCCACATGAAAACTTGTCCACAAATGTTTACGATAGCATTTTTCACTGTAGCCAAAAAGTGAAAATAAGCTAAATGTCTTATCAACCAGATAAATGGATGGACACTATGTTCAGTGATGAAATGATGGGCAGTTTTTAAAATTATTTTCTACATTTTCTTTAATGACTTAACATTAAATATTTGAAAATACTTTGTAAGGAGTATTTTTTAATACAAGAGATAACTGATGACCCAACCCATTAAGGCCTTTGATATGCCCTGTGGATCCTACCTAGGACATACTGTTCTTTTCTGAATGCAAATCTGAATTCATCTCAGAGAGCTTGTACTATGCTAAGTACTGCCTCACAACAATCCTGTAATTTAATTAACTACTAATAAATTCATCTTACAAATAAACTGAGATGTAGAAAGATTAAATAATTTTAGGGTCACCTATCTAGTAAGTAGTAGAGCTAAGTTTTAAATTTAATCTTCTGTTTCCCGAGTATGTGCTCTTAGCCACCAGGTTATACTACAGTGATGCTTTCTTTCAGATATTTTTCTTGTGCTTTGTTTTGTTTTCCTCCATAGGGCTCCAGATTTTATGGAAATGAACTCAAGAAAGAAAAGCAGGTCAACCAACGAATTGAAAATATGATGCAACAAAAAGCTCAAATCACCAGCCAACAGCTAAGAAAAGCACAATTACAGGTATTAGTTAAATTGTTAAATAAAGTGGAAGCTGGTAGAATAGTAATTGACAGTTAAAATGTATTATCAAGTCATAACTGAAAACAAGATGAAATGTAAATGTTCATTATATTGTAAAGCATACATATTCAGCAAATGAACATACTTTTCTGAGTGTTGCTCTGCTCATTTACATAAAGACTCCACACCTAGACATTGTCACCTCTATTATACAGATGAGTAAATGAAGTCTTAATTAGGTTGAGTAACTTGCCCAGCTTGATAGGACAAGTAGTTGGCAAAACGAGGATTTAATCCAAAGCCTATGTTCTTTTTATTGTATACATACTTCGCAGCTAGAAAAAGGCCACAGGATAAATGTGGCATGTTTCTGCAATACTAATGTTGCAAAAAATATTTGAGGAATATGTTAACTAATTAAATTGGAAAGTAACTTAAAACATAACCATGTTATAGTAAAATAAAAAGTCACACTATAGATTAGAATGCCAAATGTACATGAACTTTTAAGATAAAACACAAGACTTCTAAAATCTTGGAAGGTTTTTGCCTTCTCCAGGATTTCAGGAAGTAAATACTCAGTTTCCTCTTCTATTAAAAGTTATTTCAGGAGAAAAGTTTGGGAATATCCAGGTTGCAGGGCACTGTGTGGTAGACTGACAACACAAAGCAGTCAAATTTCTGATAGTAAAACAAGTCATGGCAAGAGGCGTTTACTCTTTATCAAAATCTGATCCAATGTTAACAAAACTCTAGTCTATAAGGTAACAGTAAAATTAGATTAATCTAATATGTTACAAAATCCTTCTCTTGTGACAGAGTTCAAAGATCATAAATTTTATGTTTTCCTTACCAAACTATATAATGTGTCATTTTTTGATACATATGCCTTCTCAGAGCACAAGATAATTTTTACATGGTCTTCTATTATGATGAAAGATGATCTGTTTGTCATATCATCATTTTTAATGCTTCACAGCGTTCCACTGGATGGAGGTACCATAATTTATTTACCATATCCCACCTTGATTTCAGGTTTTTGTTTCATACGCAACCCTGTGATTATCCTTCTTACCTTTGTACTCTAGTGCTGTTATTTTGATCAAAGATGGTATCATTTTACATTTTCAGCATGAGAGTATTGATTTTCTCACATAATTGTAAGCCATTAATATTTCCTTATTGGGAGAATTTCCTCTTTTATTCTATTTGTGAGGATATATGCTAAGTTGCTAGCACAAGAAACCAAAAATGTAATATTTTAAATAAGAGCTGCTTTCTTTCTCACATAAGTGAGTAGTTCTAGCTGGTGAGTGACTCTGATTATCATTTAGAGACCCAGGTTCTTTAAATCATGTTGTTCCATCATCCCCTGGTGTTATCCTTACCTGAATTAGCAAAACTGAATTATTTTCCATCCATATTCCATCTCCTGGTTAAGGAAGAAAGAAAGGGAAATAATTGAAGGCAAGTACAGTAATTTGCTATTAAACAAGTGCAAAAGAAGTTGCACACATTACTTCAGCTGACATTATTTGGCAAGAATTTAAGTTACATGGCCACACCTAACTGAAAGAGAAGCTATAACTTTAGCTGGGTGCCCATGTGCCCAGCTGAAAATTCATTACTATGGAAGGAAGGAAGAATGGATTTTGGGATTCAAGTAGCAGCCTGAAGCAATGTTTTTTGCCCACATTTTTAGGGGAGTTTATATCTATCTTGATTTATAGAGTCTTAATATAATAGAGATTTTTTCTTGCCATTTGTTTTGAATATTTTTCCAATATATTATCTTTTAATTTTGCAATTTTTCCCATATAATTTTTAATATTTCTGTAATCAAAGCCAGTGACTTTAAAAAAAATTGTATATATATGTATATATCTTCCTTTCACTTCAAAATTTATTTTTTTTAACTTTTAAGTTTGGGGTACATGTGCAGGTTTGTTATGTAAGTAAACTGGTGTCATGTGGGTTTGTTGTACAGATTATTTTGTCACCCAGGCATTAAGCCTAGTACTACCCATTAGTTATTCTTCCTGATCCTCTCCCTCCTCCCATCGTCCACCCTCCAGTAGGCCCCAGTGTATGTTGTTCCCCTCTATGTGTCCATGTGGTTTCATGATTTAGCTCCCACTTACAAGTGAGAACATGCCGTATGTGGTTTCTGTTCCTTTGTTAGTTACTAGGGATAATGGCCTCCAGCTCCATCCATGTCCTTGCAAAAGACATGATCTCATTCTTTTTTATTGCCGCACAGTATTCCATGGTATATATGTATAAAATTTTCTTTGTCCAGTCTATCATTGATGAGCATTTAGATTGATTCCGTGTCTTTGCTGTTGTGAATTGTGCTGCAGTGAACAAACACAAGCATGTATAAAAAGACCATATTTTTCAAAGCGGTTTTAGGTTCACAGCAAAATTTAACAAAAAGGTACAAAGATATTCCATATACTCCTTTCTCCCCACAGGCATAACCTCCCCTACTATCATCATCCCCCACCAGAGGGGTACATTTGTTACAGTTGATGAACCTATGTTGACACCACCTTATCACCCAAAGTTGATAGTTTACATTAGGGTTCAATATTGGTGGTGTACATTCTGTGGGTTTCGACAAATGTACAGTGAGGTGCATCCACCATTATAGTATCATGAAGAGTAGTTTCACTGCCCTAAAAAAATACTCTGTGCTCCATCTATTCATCCCTCCCTCCCCCAGTAACCCCTGGCAATCACTGACCTTTTTACTATCTCCATAGTTTTCCCTTTTCTAGAATGTCATATATTAGAATCATATAGGATGTAGCCTTTTCAGACTGACTGTTTTTACTTATGCAGTGTAAATGCATACATTTACATTTCCTTCATGTCTTTTCATGGCTTAATAGTTCATTTATTTTATGTACTGAATGTTATTCAATTGTCTGGATGTACCACAGACAATTTTTTTTTTTTTTTGAGATGGAGTCTCTCTCACTTTGTTGCCCAGGCTGGAGTGCAGTGGTGCAATTTTGGCTCACTGCAACCTCTGCCTCCCAGGTTCAAGCTTTTCTCCTCCCTTGGCCTCCCGAGTAGCTGGGATAACCAGTGCCCACCTCCATGCCTAGCTAATTTTTGCATTTTTTAGTAGAGACAGGGTTTCACCATGTTGGCCAATCTGGTCTCCAACTCCTGGCCTCATGTAATCCGCCTGCCTCAGCCTTCCAAAGTTCTGGGATTACAGGTATGAGCCATACCATAGACAATTGAATAATATTCAGCACATAAAATAAATGAGCTATCAAGCTATTTGTCCATTTACCTGCTGAAGGTTACTTTGGTTGCTTCTAAGTTTTGGGAATTATGAATAAAGCTGCTGTAAATATCCATGGCCAGGCTTATGTATGGACATAAGTTTTCAACTCCTTTGGGTAAATACTAAGGAGTGCAATCGCTGGATAATATGGTAAAATAAAATTATGTTTAGCTTTATAAGAAACTGCCAAACTGTCTTCGAAAGTGACCATACCATTTTGTCTTCCCACCAACAATGAATGAGAATTCCTGTTGCTGAATATCATTGCCATCATTTGGTGTTGTCAGTATTGTGAATTTTGGCTATTCTAATATATGTATAGTGGTATCTCATTGTTGTTTTAATTTGCATTTCCCTGATGACATATGATGTGGAGCATCTTTTCATGTGCTTATTTGCCATCTGTTTATCTTGTTTGTTGAGGTGTCTGTTAAGGTCCTTGACCATTTATAATCAAGTTGTCTGCCTTCTTATTTTTGGTTCTTAAGAGTTCTTTGTGTATTTTGGACAACAGACCTGTATCAGATATGTCTTTTGCAAATATTGTTTCCCAACCTGTGGCTTTTCTTTTTATTCTATTGACAGTATCTTTCACAGAGCAGAAATTTTTAATTTTAATGAAGTCTAGTTTATCAATTATTTCTTTCATGGATTGTGCCTTTGGTATTGTATCTAAATAGTCATCATCAAATCCAAGTCCATCTATATTTTCTCTTGTGTTATCTTCTAGGAATTTTATAGTTTTGCACTTTACAGTTAGGTCTGTGATTCATTTGAGTTCATTTTTGTGGAGGATATAAGTTCATCTCTTTTTTTTTTTTTTTTAAACATGTGGATATCCAATTGTTCCAGCACAATTTGTTAAAAAAAAAAACTTTTCTTGCTAGGTGTGGCGGCTCACGCCTGTAATCCCAGCACTTTGGGAGGCCAAGGTGGGAAGATCGCTTGAGCCCAGGGGTTCAAGACCAGCCTAGGCAACATAGCAAGACCTTGCTTCTACAAAAAATAGAAAAAAATAACTGGGAGTGATGGCACAGGCCCATGGTCCTAGCTGTTCGGGAGGCCGAGGTGGGAAGATTGTTTGCGCCTGGGAGGTCGAGGTGGCAGTGAGCCATGATTGCACTCCTGCCAGGGCAACAGCATGAGTCTCCAGAAAAGAAAAAAGAAAAAAAAAAAAGAAACTCTTATTCGTGTTACTGAGTCATTGCTCCTTTTTCAAAGACCAATTGTCTGTATTTATGTGAGTCTATTTCTGGGCTCTGTATTCTGTTTCATTGATCTATTTGTCTGTTCTTTTGCCAATACCACACTATCTTAATTACTGTAACTTTATAGTAAGTCTTGAAGTCAAGTAGTTTCAGTCCTTCGGTTTTGTTCTTGTTCTTCAATATTGTGTTGGCTAATTGGATCTTTTGCCTCACCATATAAATTTTAGAATCAGTTTGTTGACATCCACAAAATAACTTGCTAGGATTTTGACTAGGATTGCATTGAGTGTATAGATGAAGTTGGGAAGAACTGACTGGCATTTGATCATAGAGTCTTCCCCTTCATGAACATGGAATATCTCTCCATTTAAGGATGCTCCTTGGCTTACAATGGAGTTACATTTGGATAAACCCATTATAAAGTTGAAAAATTGTAAGTCAAACCATCATAAGTCTAGATATTCCCTGACTTAACGGTGGGATTATGTCCA